AGCAAGTTTTGGCTGAGGAACTGGGCCTATCACTTCCCTCATCTGCCTTCACCAGAGGGTGGCAGCCCCAGACGAGACAACAGATGAAGCTCTTCCCGGCGGGAGAGCAGAGCTCATTGGCATAGAAGAGAATTGTGTCAGAACCCAAAATATCTCCCATGCTTCCTTCCGGGACAAGGCCGACGCACCCTGGCCTTTTGAGCCACACAGTAGTTGGCATGTCAGATTACCCAAACATTGTCCTGGAAGTTCCTTCCCAGGGTAAGCCATGCACATTTCTTATTTAGCAAATGGTAAATTTTGGTAATACTTAAATACATATTATGCAAAACAAAATGTATGGAAACTGTGTATTTTATAATGCCCGTTTTTTTTTAATGTCTGCATCATTCCAGACCTGCTTTTATGGTTTGTCAACAAGATCACTCCATAAAGTACACTCGGATATCTCACAGCTGTGCATAATTTATGCTGCCTATCCATGCAGCACAAATAAAATTTTTTATTTGCACCATCTAAAAGAAATCCCAGTGTATAAATACATAAGCAAAGCTCATAAGACATAGTCTTCTGACTTCAGATGCTAACAGAGGGGAGACTGAGCAGACAATTAAAAAGCCAGGGGAAGGCTTCATTATCCATAGACGCAGATAATAAATACTGTACAAAGTAAACGGAGCCGTTACTCAGTGTCTTACGAGGGTTACACAATGTCCCACAAGTGCTGGCATGGCCTGCCTGCAAATCCTCCTAGGAATATCTTGAAATAAAGATGCTAGAGGAAGCCCTGTGGGCCAAAAAGAGTTTCTTGTGGAGTAACAGGCTGGAATAAGTAGAGGAAAGGGAAGTGCTCAGTGGTTGGCATATTTTGCCCTTAGGAAATTAGTCTTTCTCTGCCACCAAGAATGCTGGGGGCTGGGGGTAGAGGGCGGGGCGGGAGGGGGAAGGGAGACAGAATGCTCTTGGTTAGGTTTGTGGAGCTCCAGCCTGATTCCATTGGAGGCTGGAGGCGCTGAGACCTCCCCAGTGTCACCAAAGTCAAGGGGCAGACGTACTGTTACTGCCAGCTCCCTTGATGAGGGAAGGAGGGCACATGGGAATGGCCTTCCTCGCTAGTGGACCTGGGGTTTCACTTGCCTCTCCTCTCTCCTGAGACAGCATCTAAATATATTCTTGTAAATGCAAGCACCTTTCCTTCAAGTCTCTGCAGCTTGACTGGAAATCTTTCAGGCCTTTCAGTACCTTGGCTGGAGTGTCCCTGGAAACCTCCTGCTTTCCCTGTGCTGTGGATGGGTGAGTGGGAACACAGGATGCTACTGTTAGATTTCTTTCTCCATTCACTTTAACAGGCCCTGGGACAACTAGATTTGCTATCAACCAATCTAACAAATTTACCTGTGTTGCAAACGCAGAACTCAAAACCACCAGGAGGAGCTTATAATTTAACTAGTCTGTTTATGTAGATCACTTTTGTGACAGTTTTACCTGGCTTTTTAGAGAGGTTACTATAATACTGGTGTTAACTCTTGTCATATTGCTTGTTTTTCAGGGATCAAGGGGGGAAATTTTGGCATGGGGGTTATGCCTGTAATCCCAAATTGTAGATAGGGTGATTGTAGTCTAGGGTTACCTTAGGCAAAAAGAGGAAGAGAAAGAGGAGGAGGAGGATGGGGAGGAGGAGGAGGAGGAGGAGGAGGAGGACAAAGAGAAGAAGAAAGAAGAAGGAGGAGGACAAGGAGAAGAAGAAAGAAGAAGGAGAAGAGGAAGAAGAGGAGGAGGAGGAAGAGGAGAACTATTTTGAAAATCCCTGGGAGAATGGTTTAAGTGGTAGAAAACTTGCCTATCATGGGTTCAAACCTCAGAAGTACACCAAACAGAATGGTGGGAAGGCTCTACTTGATGCTGATACTTCATAGTGGCCTTAACCCAACTGAAGTACCATGCTACCTCTCATTAGAATGCCCTAATTGCACTTGCAGGCTGCAGTCTGACTGCAGGAGCTGCAGAACTGGCTCAGAACTCTTTTGCACCTATGCATCCCCTGGGGTCCTGGGCAAGAGACCCAGGTGGAGACAGCACTTCTGGGATGAGGCCCCTGACACCGCCGGGGGTGAGCAGCACTTCTCATGGCTGCTCGGCTCTGCATACTTTTTCGGGGGGGGGGGGGGGAGGGCATTGACAACATGCACTGTTGTCTACACACTGGGGAGGAACTTCCTGGGTGCTATTGGGTAATACGACTCCCTGACTGTGGGGATGAAAAGGTCCCTCCCTGTGGAAAGCATCATTTGCTCTGCTTGGCATGCCCGGCCTGTTCAGGAACAGCACAGCACTGGTCCTCTGCCGATGGCTGGGACCTTCAGTCCTCTTTTGGGGTGGTGGGGGGTTCTCAGCATTTGGTCTCCTCTCATGCATTCTCTATCCCTATTGATGACCACAAGGGCTATTCTGGTTTAGCCATCAAGAGCACCTTTCCCAGCCACTCTCCTGTCACCCATCTTTCTCACTAAAATTTTAGGGTGAAATAATATTGGACTTGCAGGAGAGCCTCAAAGGTAACAAAGAGCTAGCCACGGTCCTGTTCTTCCATGGTATTTGTTGCTCTGTATGATGGTCTTACAGGTTGAGTGTTTCTTATCTGGTCTCCTGGAATCAGAAATATTTAGATTTTCTAGAAACTCTTTATGTGGTAATGGGATTTGAGTTCAGCATCTCAAACATGCTAGATCAGTGCCCTACAGCCAAACCATTCCTCCAGACCCGGTTTTTGCACTGGTTGTTTGGAGATAAGATCTTACCAAGTCTGCAGTGTAATCCACCCATTTTATGCTTTTTGTTAGAGCTGGGATGACTGGAATGCTCCACTACTCCCAGATACTGATTAAGATGAGTTTTCTTGTGTAAGCCTAAGCTGGACTTGAGCCACAATCCTTATTTCAGCCTCCATTGATACCTGGCTTAGAATTCGTTTAATTGTGGAGCATTTGTGCCTCCAGAATGAAGAATTGTGGTGCTAGGACCCAAGTGTAAGCACAAAACTCATACACGTTTTATGTAAAACCTATCGGTATAGCATTTTATACGGACCTTATCACATGCAGCATTGTCCGGGCACCTTCCTTTTGACTGGGACTCATCACAAGAAGTCAGGTGTGTCATGCCAAGTGTCAAAACCTTTACATTTGGGAGAGCTTCAGGTTTGGTGCCATCTGATAGAGATATTCAACCTGGGCTTGTGGAGTGATCTCTGTCCCAGCACAGGAACAACCATTACGGGACAGCACAATGATGTTAGTCCACAGAGCTTAGATGGCCAAATCTTCTGGAGTAAAGCTACACTGAAGATACAGTGCAGCTGGAAGGGAATAGCTTCTGCTGAGAGCAGCGAGCACTCACCTCACACACTGAATGTGCTTCTTGAGTAGAGGGCTCAGGTATGGGCTTGTGAGCAAGCAGAGGGTCTCAAAAGATCTTGGTGAGCGACAGAGTAAGCAAATGAGTCATCTAGCAACAGCCACGAGATGGGGAACCCACAGCACCAGTCCCGCTGTGCTGCCAGCCAGTTCTCTGCTGGTAATGAGCTGGGGGGGGGGGGGGGGAACTCATTGATTGGAGCTCTCCAGGCTGCCAGTGTTGCCTCTCTACAGCCAGAAAGACTCCTGACCTCTTCCAATCAGAGAGCCCCTTCCTTCTCACTCACTCCCTACCACATCCGCAGGACCTTTCCAGTGTCAGTGCCTGCAGCCAGGCCCCTCTTCTACCACGACTGTGGCCTCATCTCCAGTACACAGGCTCCTCATGAGGAAGCCCTGAGCTTCCCTGTTCAACATATGGCACCCTAGTCCTCTCTCCCCACCCCATACAGGGCTGAGACTCAGCCCATGCCTCTGCCTCAGGCTGTATTGCTGACTTCCACCTCTGGAGACCAGCTTCAGAATGTTCTGGAGAGGCTGTGTCAGACAGTTAATGCTCCGGTAGTAATCCTTTTGTAACCTGACCCTAACTGCAGACTTCCACGTTGAGAATGATAAAATGGTGTGGATTTAAAAGTATTCAGGGAATTGTAAAATGTCTAGGATTAAAATTTCAATACCATTTGTGCCTAATAAATGCGAACTCTTCAGTAACCTGAAACTGTGCTGCTATGACTCAGGTCTGAAAATCCCGCGGCCTGGCTAAAGAGATGGGAATAACACGTGTGAGAATCCGGTCTCATCACTCACCTGGCAGCCCGGCTGGCTTGCACAGAATAGCAGGCGTGTGACCTCATAGGCGAGCAAGCCCAGAGAAAGCACCACCGCTGGGTAACAGAGACAAGGGAACACCCTTATCTTTTCCGTTAGGATTGCTTACAGAAATGGAACCAATTGAGCCTGTGTCCATGTAGCAATTGGTTCAGCATGCTTGGCCCCAAGAAACAAGAGCATAGAACAGTTTCTTGATGCATTGACTTTTTAAAACATAAACCCATCTAGTCATTCTGATCTGGCAAATTAATTTTGTCTTTAAATCACTTACTGAAGCATATAAAATTAGACTTCTTAAGTGTAGAGAGAATTGGCATTATGTTTAACAGATTCACTGGGACTTCAGTCAATGGATTTAGTCTTAATACAGTTAAAGCCTTGAGACTTAATAGAGATCTGATCTTATGTAGTGCATTAATTCGTCATTGTAAAAAGTCACCGCTTGTGAGGCTCTGTTGCTTGATGAAAGGCTGAATTATATACCTTGCCTTTGATAATGACCCAGTACATATTATAGGTCTGGAAGGAAAAGGTTAAGTTGTTTCTCGTAAGGTACAATACTTTAATGGCTTGATTGACACAGAAATCATCGATTTTAACTCATAACCATAATGTGATGAATTATAGTGTTTCCCTGATTTATTCAACCTCTAAATATTTTCACTGTGTGATTTATGTAATAAGCTGTGGATGCCAAACTCTTCCCAACGAGAATGAAAATTAGGTTGCTTTTTTTTTTTTAATTCAGGGGTGAGCTTACCAGATCAAGGAAGAAATTACGAAGTCAAGGTCGAAGTTGCTGGCACCTCTCTTCTGAGTGGGGATCTTCAGAGCCCAGGAATGAGTGTCCACTCAAAGGTCAGCTATTTGTCTTTTGTGTTTTTTTTTCCTCTCAGCTTTAGGGCTGCAGAAAGGTTGAAAATCATGTTGACTGCATTGATTATATTTAAGGCTTTCTTTACTCATTTTAATGCTAACTTAGCCTTGTGAAATGACAGCATCATTCTCGGGAAGATTAAATACAATCCAGCGTCAGCTTAACAAGTCTAATGAGTCACTCAGTGGTATTTGCATCTGCCCAAAGTGACACTCCAAGCAGGACCTCAGCATGTTATTACCAGATATGCAACTACAATGTTCCATTTGCTTGAATGCTTGATACATTTTTATAATTACGTATATTTAATCAATATTTTGCTTTATTTAGTTGATGGATAGAAATGTTTTTATGCCACACAAAAAAGTCCATATTGAGTTTTAATATGGTCTGAACTTTACCTGGACACATGTTTAATCATTTGTACTGCCATGATGCAAAAAGTAATATGAAAAATAAAAACATTAGTAATTATATTCAGTGTTTCAGTGAGCTTTATCTGTTAAGTCTACTTGACTTTCTTATGTTTCAAAACTTTTAGGAACCATTAGAAAATGTTAGAATCTATAGGAATCCGAGCCTCTTGGAGAGATTATACAGATGGCTTTATCCTTGTGTTATGTGGAAATATTTTTAGATCACTTTTCATGATAGAGAGCAGATTTGTTTTTAAAGAGTGGTTGCGATGGTGAAAATCGCCCGTGCTTTCTGGAGCAGGTTCAGCAGCCACCTTCATGTGGGTTTCAATGAGAAGGGTTGTTTGCAGCTTTAATTTATGTATAAAGTGCTTGCATTTGAGCTGGGTGCTGATAGCTCACACCTGCAATCCCAGCTACTCAGGAGGTTGAGATCTAAGAATCACAGTTGGGGAAGTGGTGCTGTAGTTCAAGTGGTAAAGCGCTAGCCTTGGGCTGAAAAGCTAAGGGATAGAGCCCAGGCCCAGAGTTCAAGACCCATGATCAGAAAAAAAAAGCTTATTCTCTCATGCCAGGTGCCAGTGGCTCATGCCTGTAATCCTAGCTACTCAGGAGGCTGAGATCTGAGGATCACGGTTCAAAGCCAGCCCAGCCAGGAAACTCTGTGAAACTCTTATCTCCAATAAACCACCAGAAAACCAGAAGTGACTCTGTAGCTTAAGTGGTAGAGCACTCGGCTAGAGCTGAGGGACAGCACTCAGGCCCAGAGTTCAAGCCCCACAACTGACCAAAAAAAAAAAAAAAGAATCACAGTTAGAAAGAAAACAGCAGCAAAGTCCATTATCCAGCACAAAGCTGGAGGTGGAGGTGTAGCTCAAGTGGTAGAGCACCAACCTTCAGTGAATAAAACTAAGTGAGAATATGAGACTCTGAGTTCAAACCTAGTGCCAGCACAAAAAGAAAAAAGGAGCTTGAATTTGAAACTACATATTTAAAAAAAAAAAGCTTAGGGGTTTGGCTAAAGGAACTAATTCAGTGTCCTGGAAACTATTATGCATTGAATATACAAAGGAGAAGTCAATCATGGTGGTATTGGTGGGATTCCCTGGGTGAAAAACTTAAAGATACCAAAGAAAAGATGATAGTTGCAGAAAATGATGAATGTAAGAACATTGATAAAGAACATGTGGCTAATTAAAATATTTACAAATTAAAAATAAGGAACAACCTAAAGTTTCTTGGAAGGCATCATGAGGATTGTTTCTGGAATTAGATTTGCCAGCTTTAGCAAATAAAAGCAGAAAAATGCCTGGTTAAATTTGGACTTCAGGAAAACGATGGATTTGTTCTTAAGTGTAAGTATATCCTGTACAGTATATGGGACATACTTGTACTAGAATCCTTTGTATGCTAGTACTGTTTATCTGAAGTGTGGCTCTGAGTGTCCGTCTTCCATCTGGCAGTTGTAGCGGTCTTGGCTTGGGGGAAATCAAAGTGCAGAGCTGTGGGGAATTGAACTTGACCCAGTGTGGGTTATTGGAGGTTTGCTCTGATTTCGGACATTAGCTTCTTCCTGCCACTGGCTGTCTGGCTGACCTCACCAGACACACCAGACCATGAGTTGGTATAGCCAACTTCCTTCTTACCTGATAGTGCTCCAGACCACGCGAACAGCTCCTGACTCTGGTGGGATTCTACTCAAGGTGCAGAATTGCATGTCTAGCATAAGCCTCACTAAAATGACTCTGTATTACTACTGGCATTACCGAAGAAAACAGGGATCAAGTGTGGTGGCTCAGTCCTGTCATCTTAGCCATTCAGGAGGCAGAGTCTGGAGGTTCATAGTTAGAGGTCAGCCCAGGCAAAAAGTTAATGTGACCTCATCTCAAGTGATAGCTGAGTGTCTGTCATCTCAACTGCATGAGAAGAGTAAATAAAAGTACTATTGTCCAGACCATGCTGGGCATAAATGCGAGCTATTCAAAGAAAAGCCAATACAAAAAGGCTGGCACTGTGGTTTAAGTGGTAGAGTGCCTTGCCAAGCAAGCCTGGGCCCTGAGTTCAAACCCCAGTACTGTCAGAGAGAAAGACAGAGACAGAGATACACAGAGAGACACCGAGAGAGATGGGAACAATTTTGTTTTAATGCCGCAGGGACTCATCTCAATGAACAGCTATGACTTGGATGTGATGTCTGAGGTTATAATACACGCTACATGTGGCAGGCCAGGGAAAAGCCCTGCGGAAGAGCTGCATGTTGTGGTTAATGTGTACTCATGTTGACCAGAAGCCTCCAATACGATGTGACCGCACTCTGTTATCAACAATGGTGGGGATTTGAACTTCAAACTACATCAACACAGTGGATCTCCACCCAGACAAAATGCACTCACATCAATGACCATGTTTATAGCAGACCATGCCTGTTGTACTTTAGAAAAGGCTCTGCTTTTCTTCCCCAGCCCTCTTCCTTCTTTCCAGCTGGCTTATTTAAGAATCTCTACTGTGCCAGTGCCGGCTGTAGAGTCAATGAAGACAGATAAGCACTCTGCCCCCGCTCTGTCCCTTCCAGCAAAGGGAAATACAAATAAAATAAATCCAGATTGGGATAAGTGTTAAAAAGGACCAACAGGAGAGGGCTGGCCAAGAAAGAGCTTTCTAAGAAGACATAAGATAGGCTGCTTCCTCATGGAGAGTCAGAGACTCAGCCTGAAGACAACACGTGGGCAAAGGCTGGAGCGGGAGGACTACCAAGGAGGCGGGGGTGTCTGCAGTACGGGAGGTTAGCTGGGCTGATGGACAGGCTGGCGGTGACACAGCAACAGCAGAGACCACCATGCCCCACAGGCCGCCCTCCACATACACCTGTGCTGAGCAGGTGACAGCCAGCGGCCTCTTTCTCTGATGGTTGCCTATTTACATTATGATTCATGGGGCTTTACAAAGCATGGCATCAGTTTTGCATAATTAATCTTTCCCAGAGTGAGCCACGTTCCTATCCATGGGAGGTGTTCTTATGATTACAGAAGCAGCTGACTCTGAGACATGGCTGCCTGTGGTCCAGCGAGGCGGAACTGAAAGTGTGCACAGAGGGTTTGCACACTTGAGTGTGGGCCCGCCACATAGCGGAGAGGACTCCACGTCTCTTTGGCTCCTCTGCAGAACTCTTTGGATTAAAAACAAGGATTTAGTTTGTCACCATGTCTGTTTCTTCAGAGGCCAACCTCATGTCCGCAGCATGGAGGGCATGTCCAGGCTTGGTGTAAAATAACCACATTGCGGTCTGTAGCCACTGCCCCTCCTGCCCCCGCCATTGTCCAGCCCTGCGATCTGTACTCCCACACCCTTCCCATGTCTCTCTCTTCCGGAGAGGCCATCTTGAGATCTATAGGCTGAAATGACCACTCCCCTTCTCGGCTTTGTCCAGCCATGCCATAAGGTCACAAAGGAGAGGCTGGCAGGCCAACCCCTGCTGTGGGCAGACACAAGAATTCCCAGACTCGGGCATAAGGATTTGCCTGTAGATTCGAGACATTTGGGATAAAATCTGTGTTTAGGCCCCAGCTACATGGGTGGGAGGGACGGCTAGCATAAATACCCTCCAAAACACAGGACCCCTGTTTCATTTGCTTTTCAGTCTGTCATTAACTAGCCATGAACATGGCTCTCCGTCTGGCTGTGTATTAGGGTCTTCTGGAAACTTAGAAATAGCAGAGTTCAGTGTCCAGCCTGAGGGTTCCTTTCATTAGCTTAGGGGAAGGCCGAGGTATCTGCCTTTAGGGGAAAAAAGTGGCCCCCAAGTGATTTTAATGAACACACAAGGTTTAAAGCATTTGAGGAAACTCAGGCTGTGGCCAGTGCTCATCAGCTTGATCCAGTGGTTTGGACAAAGGTGCTGTCTGGGGTGTGCGCTCCCTTTCCCCCCCCCCCCTGCCTCTCTTACACACACACACACACACACACACACACACACACACACACACACACACACACGATTCTGTGCATGAAATACATCTGGAACTGATATTAGTATGTCCCTTCTAACTCAGGAATCAAGCTGTCCCTGCCACTGCTTATGTAGTTGGAGGAGTGGCGAGACAGGAAAGAACAGAGTTGTGCAAGGTGGACAGCTCCCACCTCCTGTCCCTGCGCCGTGTCACTGTCTGTGGGGATGGGCTTGCCAACGTCCCTCCTCTCACGGTTGTTGTAAGGAGGAGGTAAAATGCCAGCTTTTAAATTACGTTGGAAGTGGAACATCACTACCCAAATGGAAGGTGGTATTGGACGTTGGGAACATCTTGAGGGACCAGTCTCTGATTTTTCATCTTGGAAAAGTTAAGCAGAGAACCAGAGAAGACATGTCACCATGTGATTAATTATCAGATTGTCCCCGTGGGGCTCAGCCTTTGAATACTCCAGGAAATTTCAAATTTCCAGCTTTCTCACTTGAGAGCGAAATTACGGAAATCGAATGTGAAATGGAAAGTAAAAGGCAAATGGATTCAAACAGGAAGCCAGAGGTTACCTCAGCAAATGACAGCTCTCAGATATCGAATAGCAGCTAA